CTAGTTACAGTAAGCACAATTCAAAGAGGCAGTTCTCTTCCTTCTGTCTCCTAATGACTACACTTACGCCCTAACCAAACTGGAATTAAAAATAGGAGACTCGGCTGCTTGAGTGGTCTTACATTGCTTTTTTTTATATTCAGCTCTTTTTTGCTGATTATTTACACTTGACAAGAATATAGAATATATAGAACATTCAGCAGTTTCTGTTTTGTCATTTCAGGCTGTGGGGCTTCAAACAGATGAAGTGGAGCACCACTTATATCTTTCAGCTAAGAAAATAATGCAGGGCAACACTTTTTTCCAATTATTTAAGTGTCATTTTAGTTTATTTCCTCGCCCCTTTATTTGTTGGTAACAGACCCAACATCATGCGGAAGCGTCTTTCCTCGGTGGAAGAAGCTCTGATCAATATCAAAGAGTTCTCCTCTACTTTTAGTCGAGGGACCCGGGGCTCGGAGGAGGAAGGTGCTGCACCCCGACTCCGCGGTTTAGCTCCGCTCTTATCACATCTCATCAGCCTGCTAAGTCACTGGTCCATAAAACTGTCTCCAGTGTGATACGCCATCATCACATCACACCCTAATTTCCTCGAACAACACCTTACAGTTGAACAAGCATGCTTTGCAATGCATAACCGGAGTGCAATGGTGAATTAGGCACCGGGGGACACCTCTAACTCTTACCGCCTATTAACCCACAGCTACACTCTCAAAACTTTTTTTTTTACCATGCCAGCCCAAGCAGAGAAGAGCTTTTCCCTTAACAGCAAAGTGTTGCACATTTTGTTATGTCAAGTTCCTAATTCGCTCGCTGACTCCGTTTCCTAACTAGACGGCATATTGAATTTTAAATCGTGCGTTCATATGCGCTGCTGTATGCTTTTTGCGCATTGCTGTGTTTGCACAATAAGTAAGCGAGCGTCTCGATGTGGAGAACAATGTTAGATAATTAGGAGGTTGTGTGTGTGAAAGCATGTCTGTCGATCTCGTGCTGTATGTCGACAAGAGCACACGGAATGCAAAATGACTCCCTGAGCTGCCTTCGTCTCCCTCTGGGCCTCACAGACTTCCCAAGCTGAACAAGATCGAGCCGAGCTGCCTCCCTCTCAGGGTCCAGACTGGTTAACAAGCGGCAGAATAAAACGGCAGCAAGTTAAATTGTATGTAACTTTTTAGTTCGCACTAATAGTGTGACCTTTATTGATTTCTTGTCTCTCCCCTTCAGCTTGGCGAAACACTAATGGCACTGGTCAATAAAAAACCATGAAGTGGAAGTTCTCAATACCCCTCCCCCTGCGTTGACCACATCCCTAAAAATAGCCACTCAACCACCCTCAGAGGCCGCTGAGCCCAGTGCCATGACAGCTCACTACTCTTATTCAATATGAGCTAGCACTGCGTCCCTGTTTGTTTCCTCACCGCAGATGTAAGCGGGTGAACATGCTGAGCCATCCGCCGAACACATCTACTCCCGAATCCTGTCTCCGCCGGCTCCCATTCAGATGGCCGGCCACGTTCAGTCAGTACCCTGCCTCTTCTAATCAATAGATTTATAACACGATGAACGGAGCATAAAATAACACTTTGATTTGGGCGCCCGAATCGAAAACAAACAGCAATTTCAGCAACTGTAACTTACACGGCGTTCTGGGACCTACTGCTTCAAAGAATTACGTTCACATTTCAAAAGAACAAGTTTACAATGAAAAAGGCCTTGTGTCTGTGTAGCTACCACCCACTGTTTTATTGACCGGTCGTGTCAATGTGTGCCCCTGCCTGCTCGTGTCTTTCCCGATTGAACTTTGCAAAAAGAAGTTTTTTTTTTTTGTTGAAGCAGACTTACATAAAGCTGGAGTGATCTTCACTTCCATCTCCTCTGGATGGCTTGTATCTTGTTTTTTTTTTTTCTCTCTTCCCAAACTTCTCTCAACCCTGAACTTTGTTGACCAATCTGTTTCTACTCCACACCGGGCCCCTTTGGAAGTGAGACTTTGCTCGCTCTTCAGGTGTGCTGCTGAGCTCAGAACAACAGAGACAGCTGAAGGCAATTCGCTCACACAGCCATGCAGATATTCAGAAGTCAAAGTTCTGGGAGGGCACCCCTGTGGTGCCGTTCCTCCACAGTAAGAGGAGCAGCAGCAGCCAGCAGTATTGATTCACCTTGCAGCCTTGAGCCTGCTGTCACTGACAGTATATCACTTCATTTAATCCACTGTTAAATAGGCTGTAATTAGAAATCTGTCCTGCAGATGTGTTTTATTTAAAGGTTGGCTAAATTGCAAGTCCACCTACACTGTTGTGCATTAGCATCCTCTGTTTTTTTTTTTTTTTCATCTGTCAGTGTTGTCCTTATTTCAGTATTTTATTTTCATGAAGGATTTTAATCTGAGTGATATTGACAGTGTCTGCACAGAGAAGGCAAATGATGCAAATAAACCCTCTCTTGGGGGATTAGCCTGCATGCTATTTGAAAAGTACTTACAGTAAGTCTCTTAATTGTGGTTAATGTTTGCTGGTCCCTTGACTCAAACTGATGACCGATAGACCTTTTTTCCGCAGCAGACATTTTGACTTGTCATAGCCGGAAAAGAACAGGTGAGGGGGGAAAAAAAACAAGCTAATCTGTTGAGCTAAGTCATGACAATAAGTCACAAAGATAGAATTATCTCACCTAAATGGAATGCAGTCAAAAAATGTGCATTACAAACTTAAAAGTATAGATTTTTTAAACAATAAAGACATTTTCAGTTCCATGAGTTGATAAAATACAACATCCTGCACCCCATTCATATTAGTTGTGTGTTCTGAAGTTGAAGAAGGATGAAATAACATCATATTTTTGCATATTGTTCCAATAATCTTAGCAGCATGGCTTAAAAATTGATAAGCGCTGAAGGTTTGTGAGAAACTATGAAGTCAGACCAATGTGGAATGAGCCTCTTTTCTGCTCTATGGACCAAGGAAATGTGGACATACTTATTAAAAAGAATCTTATGGATATTGCACAGTTAATTAGCAAATTGTCAAACTGGCCTTCAACCTCAATTTATATTTTTATCATTTATTTTTCTGAACACTATTGAAGGACAGGTTCTATTTTTTTCGACGCTGTCTTTGTACAACAATCACATGCCTATGCTCATTAAAACCGTACATGCAATGTACAATGAAAGTGCTGAAAGAGTTATTGATCTCTGTAATCATTCCTCCTCTCAGCGCTGGCTGTCAGGCGATTCCTTACGAGCACAAGTTCGCGGAGGGAAAAAAAAATGTCCACAGTCCTTGTTCAGTGGAAATATTAGAGTGTGGAGCCTAATATGAAGATTCAGGAGCCTAAATTGGCCAAATGAAATGGGTAACAGTCTTTTTTTAGAACAAGATTTCTTCTCTGGGTGTTGCCAGTTCATGTTTTTTTCTACTGAGCTGGCTTTGCAGGCATAAAAACACAAAGAGGGAATTTCAGATTCAAAACACTTGAGTTGTTGGAGCCTAACTAGGATGGAGTTTTAAATTGCATTTTTGCACAGAGATAAGACTGTGTAAATAAGACCATAAAATAACTCAGTCGTTGTTCAAATATGATTATTTGAATAATATTTCATTATTCAATTATTTTTATTAACCAGTTTTAGTCATCAGTTTATTCTGACTGTACAACAAGATGTAAGAGCTGGATAGTGATCTGTTATATTCAGACCTGTGTGCACATTACTGCCCAATCCCACCAACTTTGATTTAAGTTTAAAAATCATTCTAGTTTTATTTATATAGTGATACTTCACAATATTCAAGGCACTTGAAGTGAGGACTTCACAAAGTTAGATTATAGATAGAAACCCAGCAAATCCAAAGATTTCCTTTACGCACACTTTCCGGCAACGGTGGGCAGTTTGTATTCTCAATTAACAGGAAGGAACCTCCAGCAGAACCAGGCTTGGTTGGCAGGTAGAAATAAGACGTAAGAGAACATTAAACACTGGCGTCGTAACTGCAGATCTGAAACATGTCGCTCTGGAGCAAAAGATGCTTATAGAGAGGACAAAACACAAATTCCAAGAGAAAAATATGCAACGTTAGTGATGTGAAAGTGGTTTATAAATGTATGGAGAGTAGAAGGGAGGTGCTCAGTGCATCATGGGATGTCCGCCTGGAGTCTGGGCCTGTGTCCAAAATGATTCACACTGTAAGGTTTTAGGCAAAATATTCATATTAGTTGGATTGTGTTCCATTATTTGTAGAATTGTGGTTTCTATCTTTGTTGTTGCACTGGTTGGCTTGTTCTCTATGATTGGTGGCACTGTAGGGCCTCAGCCTGTATTGTGATCAGGTGAAATGGAGCTTTTCAACATTTTTGTGGGGTTTGGTCTCTAGTATGTGGATGATACTACAGGTCTTAACTGCAGTTTCTGGTGTTGTTGGGTTGCTTTCGTACTGCTAAATCATGGTTCTTTCTGCTGCAGGGCACGTTGGCACAGTATTTGCTACCTTGGATGTGCTGTACACGGATGCTGTTTTTGTCTAATTTGACATTTGTGTTATTGTAAAGCACTTTGACCTTGTTTTCGAAAGGTGCTACATAAAGCTATTATCACCTAAACAGGGGAATCACTCGTGTAACAGTGGTGCTTTTCTTGCCACGACAAGTCAGGATGTCTGCTGGGGAATGTTTTCCATTGTGCTTGGCTATATAAAGGATTTGCCATAGTTGGTCACCAATAGTTTAAAAAACAAAGAAGCTGGTTTGAACACAGATTTTTTATTTATATTTTTTGCCCAAACTGTCCCTCCTGAGTTGAAGTGCTCCATAGATGCCACTGGGTGTCGCTCCAGAGTGTCTCATATCGCTCCTGTGCGCTTATTCCAACCAATATCACCCCCTCCTCCTCCTCCTCCTCCTCCTCCTCCTCTTTGCCTTACTATGTGTGCGTGTGTGTGTGCGTGTGTGTGTATGTGTGTGTGTGTGTTGTGTGTCGGATAGAAAGTCAGCCTGGTTTCCAGCTGAGTGCTTGCTCTCTCACAGTGTGTGTGTGCGTGTGTGTGTGTGTGTGTGTTGTCATTATTATCCACTCTGCTCCCAGCTCAGAATGGCCAGATTCACTCAGACTGAAACAAGAAGGCAGCATCATCCACAGCAGCCCCAGCCCGCTCACTCCAGCCTGGTTTTCACCGGACCGGGGGCACCACCGACCCAACAACCACTACTACTTATCCCACATCAGCACCAGTACCCTCAGATCACATTCCCGAAACCCATGAACGGGTCAGAACCCATTTCAATTCATCCGGAGAGCGGCAACATGAAAGACCAAGATGCCATTAAGCTGTTTATCGGGCAGATACCGCGGAACTTGGAGGAAAAAGACCTGAAACCCCTGTTTGAACAGTTTGGGAAAATCCACGAACTGACAGTTCTCAAGGACCGATACACCGGCATGCACAAAGGTAATGTGTCGCCCCTCGAATGGCCGCGAGGCCCATTTGAACCTTAATTATTGCTTATTACCTGCAGCTTTTCTACTGATTTGTGCCGAAATGCGTATATGTGCCACTTTTATTCTCACATTTGATCAGCTTTAGCCCGGGAATGATCAGCCCAAACAATTTGTCTGTATCATCCTGCTCATCATTGCTCAGGCTGTATTTCATCCAACATTCATGAGGTTTGGAATTTTGTCCCAGTTCTGATTGTTGTGCGTAAAAACTGCAAGTTTCTTCTCATTTTTCTATTTTGACAGAATTTTATAAGCGTTATCTGAGAATTCCACATTTTAGATCAGCCTCCCAGAAAAGGGAGGTTTACGCACAGCTCAAGATGAGTGCTTTCAATGCGAGGATTTGTTTTATTTTTATTGCAAATTGAGGAGTATTTTCTTAACGCGCTCCTAAGTGGGGCAGAGGCGCTCGGAAAGGATGCATTTTTAAAGAGCCTTCCCCTGCCAGTCCCATCTTTTTGCGGAGGGGCGGCATCATTTATTCATCCATATGCTTTCTTTAACATCTCCCCCATGTGCGAATGGAGCGGGCTGGGCGCAAAATATAACCCGACACGGTGGAATCAGTTCAATACTACAATGTCTCCAAAGGGCGCAAGAACTGTCACAAGATGACGGACGTCGCCGCGCAGAGTGGGGCAGTGATGCTGCGCTGCTTCTGCTTAAATGGGAGGCTGAGGGAGAGGCAGGGGGATGGAAATCCACTGAGCTGGCTACACACACACACACACACACACACATAAATATACAGTGACACTTTCCATCTTCCATAATGAAGTTGGTTAGTAAGAATATACGGTGTGGAAATCACTGCCTGGGTGGGAAAACCATTTCACAATACGTGCCACCCCCCCGCACCCACCCACCACCACTCCCCCTTCCAACGTTGATCCACGCAATGCAGACGTCACCATCATCATTATCATCGTCATCAACACCCATCAACACTTTTCACCCAACTTTAATTTTGTTGTTTGCACTCACAGAAAAACGTTTATCTGGTTGAAATAACAAAATGGCATCATGATAATAATGACAGCATCATAGTCATTAGTTTGATTGTAATCCTAATTTGAACACAGTTTGAAGCACCATTCACGTGTTCCAAAGGGGGAACCACAAAGATTAAGGCATGTTTATTTGAGGTTATTTTTTGCTGTGTGTGTGTGTGTGTGTGTGTGTGTGTGTGATTTTCATCTGTGTGTTTCTAAAGCTGCCCCATAGGAGTCACAGACCCAAAAAACACACAGCAGCCACGACTCTCATTTTTGCAACAACACTGCTGCAGAAAGCTTTTTTTTTTCTCTCTTTTTTTTTTTTTTTCATAATTCTGCTTCTCCCCTCTGGGATTCTTCATTTTTGCACTCCTGCAGAGCAGATGTTGATATGTGAAGGATGTTAGTGCAGGAGATAAGCCTTTTATTGCAGTGACATTTAGAAAAGACAAATGATAATGTATGACAGTAATGTAAATGCCATTTGCAAACATTGCACGGCGCGTTATGTCTTGTACGAAATCACCGTCGAAAGATATTAATTTTGTTATTATTACAAAGGTTGTCCACCACAGGCACGCAGCACTGAGTCCCTGTGTTGATCACAAAATGCTTGTGAAGGTTTTATACTGAATGTGGCTGCAGTTAGATTGAACTACCACGGCTCCTATTAGTCACATGTTTCATGCAGCTCCTGCAGCTGATGTTGTCAGCTTGGAGAAAGGAAGACATTTTTATTTTTTTTCCCAGAACACTCATTGGCCATTCGTTGGTATGTAGTTTGTTTTTTGTGCGTGTGTGTGCATGCATATACTGAAATGTCATTGCCCTGTCTTGCATAATGATTGCAGTATCTGGCTCCTGAGTGATTGTCACCTCAACATGGTGTCAGGGAAAAGAGGCTCTTCGATATGTAACACATGCAGGACATGTTTCCATCACATGCAACAACAAAAATCCTGATCTTAGGGAGATGTGCACATAATTCAAGTGTAGCATGAACAGCACAAAGCACATTGTTAGTCATGAATTTTCAATTATTACACTGAACTAATTGCTTAACTAGATTGTCTCTCACATTTGAAAAGTTTTTTCTCTGATTCCTTCTTCTTATTACACTAACTATCATCACTTTATTACATCATTCTACCCCTGGTGGTAAAGTAAAAAAAAAAAGAAGTGGAATCAAATCTTTTATTTTATTTATTTATTTTCCTAAATCTGTAATTGAGATGTAGGCTGGCTTTCAGTGAGAGTCTGTATGATCATCTCCTCAGTTTGAAATGCAAAACATAAACTCAAAAGAGACTTGTAACAAAGAGAAATCCCTTTTTAAATAGGAAAAGAAAAGTCCAATGAACTAAATGTCAGTCATGGGTTTTGTGGACATTTATTCTGTTTAATAAATAAATCAAAATCCCAAACATTAATCTGGTTGCATGCAGCTATACGAGGTCGTCTCTTTGATATACGCGAAAATGGTAAATTCCAAATGTTCATCTCAAAGTGAATGTTTATTCATTCATTTACAAACAAACTAATTCATTTCAGATACTTCTGTCAAATTAAGTGACTTAGAATCATAATGAAGCCTGGCTGCACAATTAACAATACGTAATCAAACTAATGTGTCAGTGATCTCTGATGAGGTTATTTTATAGTTAATTGTGTTATTAAGCAGAAACGGATTATGGCGTATGCATCCTGATGGAAACACTGGGACAGCATCCTCTAAGAGGCATATTCAGACTCACAAAGACGTTGATGGACACATACACTCACACTCACACACACACACACATACACACACTCACACACACACACACACACGCTATATTTTCATTATACTAAGTGTTGTTCATTTGTAGTCGTCGCACTTATTCTGTCATTTTGATTTTCATTTCATCCACAATGTGCTCTGTGTGTTTATTATTTCCTCTTTTCTTATGCAACTATTTTTCCCCTTGGTAATCCATGAGGGAAAACATGGAATTAGTTTGTAAAGCGTGATAATAATGCATGGCCATAATAACTTGACTCAAGAGGATTAGCAAATGTGCATTGTCTGAAGCAGCAGTCTCTTGGGTGATCAGCTGGTTGCCTCCCTAAACAGTGGCTGCCTCTGCCAATTAAAAATTCAGTCTAGTCTGCCTCTTCAAATGATTAATTCTGCCCACGCTGTCGATGGCCTGCCAATTATTGTCGCCCAATTGGTATTAATAGGTAGAGGATTTCCTGATGTTGAATTTATCACACACTGTGAAAACTTCTCCCTTTGGCTCTAATTAACGTCTACTTATAGCACATGCGGAACACATACTTTGACATTTGTGCACATGCATATATGCACAAAACAACGCTCTCTCTCTCTCGCTCTCTTTTTCTTTTTTTAAAACTTGTGCAGCATGCTCTACATCTGTTGTTTATTTCCCCAAATTAGCAGTTCAGCTTTGAAAGGCACCAGTTTATGGCTACATTCTCTCCTGTGAGTTGCCTTTGTGCAGTGAAGTAACATGCACTCGAATCAGATGGAAGGAGAACGTGTGATTCAGCAGAGCAGACAGACAAAATAATCCCTATGCTGCTCCAATCTGCTGGTCAAGGCAGTATCAATATTAAGTCCGTGTCGGGTATCGTTGTGTTAATGCATTTACAAATGGAGATATTGCCATAGACCCCAGCCAAGCAGAAGCACATTAAATCACAGAATAATCTAATGAAATATTTATTCAAGTTTTTATTTTTTTCCCCCTCTCCGAGCCAGTCTGATGGATAGGGTTTCTCTGTGAGTTAAAGAGGAGAGAAGGAAGGAAACAGGAACAGTTTGAACATAGAATATGCACCAAACCAAAGGGGTATGGTGCTATGAGACTGCACTTTTCCTTTATAAAGATGTAGCTTAAAGAGAATGGCATTGATTAAACAAAGCTCTGGTTTTGTTGAAGCCTCTCTCTCTCTCTCGCTCCTGTTTGATATTATGGAAGCGTGAGTGCATCTACACGTCTCCATATTGTGCGTGCCTTATGGAAAGTGTCAAAGATCACGGCACTGCTGTAGGACAGCATTACCCCAGAGAAAACAGATGGGATAAATTCACTTACAGACCATAAACAGAGCTGTAGATGTGACACGAATGGAACATACACAACACGCTGTGATAATATTACAGATTTAATAGAGATGAGTGTAGCTTAGGCCTTTTGACAGTATTGTATTTCTGCTAATGAAATTAAACAATTTCATAAAGGTTTTAAGAGGAAACAAATTCCGTTCTGTCTCGAGTGTGTGAGCCACAGGAAAAGAAAGAAACAAACAACAAAAAAAAGAACAATTCTCAGTCTCCATGCAGTTTTGTGCAGTGATTCGATTTAACAAATCTAGAATAAAATCTTCTGTCAGGGCTAGTGAGCGAAGGCCACCGAGCCAAGCTAATGCAGTAACAACACTCGCCTCGCAATCTTTAAACGTCTGTAAATATTGTAATAAGCAACAGGGCTTTCCTCATAAAAGATGCAGCAGCTCAACTGGTACTGACAGGCGCTATGGGCCTTGACTTCAGGATGAGGAGAGCTACCTCCCCCTCTCCTCTGCTCTTTTTCTGTTGGTTTCCCAAGGAGATTGGCAATCTTAGATGCCGACAAGGCCGCGCTCTGCTGGAGGTTAGTGTCCACGCACCAGACTCACCTGACTTTTATTCTGTCTCCACTTCTTTCTCCCTTAATCCCTGCCCGAGAGAGCCTTTCAGATGGATTGATTTCCTGCACCAATGCAACATTCATTATGGTTTGCAGTATATTATACTTTCAGTGTATTGGAAGTGCTGTTATTCCATGACCTTTGTGGAATACGTTTGCTCTTAATGGGTGCCTGGAGCAGGGGCAGATATGGAAAAGATGTACTATGAGGTCTAAGGGAAAGTATGGAGCGACTTTATCAGAGAGATTCATTTATGAAA